ATACACTGCTTTTGTATCATTCCCCCATAAACGCTGAGCTTCCATTCCTCAGAAAGCGGCTGAGAAATCTCACTAATATTGCTATGTATTCAAAAAAGAAGCCTTTGCATTTATCCAGCAGCGGGGGTCTGACTCTAGCCAGGCTCCGGGCTGTGAACATGCAAGTACAGGGCTTCCTTTGAGCCCAAACACCAAACCTTTCACAGCCCTTCCAACGACATTTCAGATATGGGGGCCTGTTTTTTTCCCCTTGCACTATTAAAGCTTCTGCACAGTGGGGATCTGTGAGTGAGTCTGTTCATGTAAAATGGGAAGAAATGCCCCAAACAAAATTCACCACGAAGAAATGAGTCTTGCAAATGGAAAATTCCTGAGTTACCCAAACTTCTCCCAATTCCTTTCCACAGAGGACCACGCTATCACGGAAACATGGTTTGGAAAATGAACTTACCAGTCCAACTAAACTACATTATTTCAGTCTATAACTGACAGGCAACATACAGACTGCTACTCTATTATTAATGCATTCTGGGTAACGTTCTGTCCATCCATTCTGGTACCATTTTGTATCCCAAGCCATTCCTTCTTCCCAGAGTAAGAGCCATATAAATGGGCTCTCAGTCTCTATTACAGTAGAGTGATGGCTGCTTTCCAGACAGGCAATCTCTATGGACACCCCTGTTCTCCGGTCCAAACCACTGAACCACGGTCTCAGCTTTCTCCATTCTCTCTGTGGGGGAAATGCTCGACACATCAACGTGTGGAAGAGGAACAGATTTCGACAGAGAGGGTCAACTCCTACACAGCAATAGTGTCACAGAACTTCCTGCAGCAAATATGGGTTACTCGCAAATAAATCGTCAATATATGTAAAGCAGATCCGTATGATGTTTAAAAGAGGAAAACCACATAACGCAACGCAACTCCTACGTAACAGTTGGATTGAGCGGCTCGATCTATCATCTGGTGCTGAAGCAGAACATGTATTGTTTATTGGAACAGGTAAGTTCCCACATCCCTCTGGTGATCCATCACGGCACGTGTTGTGCTACTTTCAGTTGCTTCTCTTAGCACCACTGGTAAGAAAGAGAAAAAAACTGCGTCTCCCGGGAGCGTCCCATTGCCAGGTAGGTGCAATGTGGCGATGGCCGGTTCACTTAGAGAGTTGTCCTCTTCCATCCCTCAAGGAGAGCCCAGTGAACCCAAGAGATCTACCTCAAGGCTGTAACCATGAGACAAATACTTCAACAGTGGATTGAAGAGAAGATTAATCAGCACCTACTTTGATAATCGATAGTTTAAGTCTTTTTTCAAAGCAAATAGAATATTTTTTACCTTTGTACTGTTTGTCGAACAAAATAAGTAATTTGATGTCGTCGCCTCATGCTTCAGGAATTTCTCGCCGTTTTCTGAGTTTTATTGATTAAAATGATTAATAAAAACTAATTTACAGGTTAGTCAATAATGAAAATATTTGTTAGTTGCAGCCCAAATCTACCTAACAAACAGACATTAAGATATTTAATATCATATTAATGATAACACACAACATGGTGGTCATCCAAACTCCAAATCAAGAAAATTTGCCAAAAACAAAAAGTATTTAAATATTTAAGTTTAAACGGTTTAGATTGAGATAAAGAAACAAAACAAACGAGTCAAAGAGTTTAAAAGCCTTGTAATTAACTCGTTTAAAAGGGCTGAACTCATTCAGCACAAAGACACTGGTGTTTACATTTGAAGTGATTTGACATTGTGTGTGTGTGTGTGATAAATGGCTGCTCACGAGCATTAAGCAGGAAACAGAATTTCTTTCTCTTCTCTTAAACATGGAACATATTCAGCATCAAATGCAGATTACATGCCACTGATGTGTGTTTTGCCACACACACACACACACACACACACACACACACACACACACACACAC